AGAGAGGGGACCTAACCAAGATCAGCTCTCTCTACAAACACCATAAATGCCACCAGAATTACAGAGGGGTGGGGTTGGAGCGGATCCTAGGAACACCAAAATTGACCCTTTCTTTTACAGATTCAGTGCCAGAGACTATCAAGGGGACATCGTGAAGGGTGTTAATGACAGGAGTACGAGCTCAGCTGGCCTGACTTCCACTTCATGTGATGCTCATGGATGCTGCTGTATGATGGGTCCCTGGAAGGGTTTCGTACCCGCTGCTAGTCACAAAGAAATCAGGAGGGTATGAGGCTGGGGGTTTAGCTCAGCGGCATAAGCACCTGCCTTGTAAGCAGGTGGTCGTGAGTTGGATCCCTGGTATGGATAAAAATGAAAAAAGACAAAAAAATTTTAAAAAAAGAAATCAGGAGGGTAGCCTGGCACTGCCACTGGGGGCCCAAGCCATAGGCCTTGCTTTCTGTGCTTGGCCTTGTCTCTGCCAGTTACCACCTGGAGGACTGCACTAAGTCTCAGTTTCCTTGTCTGGAAAAGCAGGAGGACAGTGCTGGTATCCACTTCTCAGGGCTCACAGACATGACAGAGACAAAGCTCAAGCCCACATCTGATTGGCAGGCATGGTGCTTATGGGAATCAGCAATGTTGGCTGGTTCTAGCAATATAGCAATAATTATCTCAGTATTTAAAGTAACAGAACTAACCAGAAACCTGAACTTGATACCTGGACACTGCTTTATTTTTTATATTTTCACATCCATTTTATTTCAAAGAGAAAAAAAAGTCAAAACACAACAATCTGGGGACAATGGTACATACAATGCGCATTGCACATTGCCGGGCCCAAGTCAGTCACCCAGAACACAAGACATCTGCATTCAATTGTCTGAACAGTACCAGGGCAAAACTTTCTCTTCAATGAACTCAGAGACATTAGTAGTATAACTATTTTAACTCTATTATATACATATATATGTACATATATTGCTTCTTTCAGCCTCTCACACTAGTGAGACAATACAATGTTGACACGTCTTATTTATTTCACCAATGAGTATGGTCTCAAGTTGTATCCATTTACGTATAAAAGTCTCGAGTTTGTCCTTCTTTGTGGATGAGTAGTCTTCCATTGTATAAAAGTACCACAACTTTTTTGCCCATTCCTTGGTTGGTGGGCATTTAGGTTGTTTCCAAGATCTAGCTGTTACAAATTGCACTGCTGTGAACACGGGTGCACATATATAACTGTGGTACGATGTTTTAAATTCTGGGAAGAGACCCAGAAGGGAAATAGCTGGGTAAAATGGGACCTCCAATCCTAATTTTTTGTTTTATTTATTTATTTATTTATTTATTTTTTGTAGCAGGGATTGAACTCACGACCTCGTGCTTGCCAGGCAGGCAATTCAACTCAGACCACTGAGCTGGATCCCCAGCCCTAGTCCTAGATTTCTGAGAAATCAATACACTGATTTACACAGCAGCTACACCAGTCTGCACTTCCACCAACAGTGGAGAAGTGTTCCTTTTTCCTGACAGCCTCTCCAGCATTTATTGTTGGTTGATTTCTTGATAATAGTCATTCTTTCTGGGGTGATGTTGTTTTAATTTCTATCTCTCAAATGACCAGCGATGTTGAATATTTTTTTTACATAGTTATTAGCTGTTTGTATTTCTTCATCTGAGAAGTGTGTATTCATTTAGATGCCCTTTTTTGGATTGGGTTTTTAAGTCTTGGGGGGACTGATTTTTTTTTTAGTTCTTTATATGTTCTCCATAGTAATCCTTTGTTCAAGAAACAGCTGGCAAGCATTGTCTCCCCTTGTGGGCTGTCTCTTCACACTCTGTTAGTAATTTCTCTTGCTGTGAAAAAGTCTTTCAATAGGGTGAGATCTCAGTTGTTGATTCTTCGTGATAGTTACTGTGCAAAAGGGTTTCATTCATAAAATCTTTGCCTGGTATAGGCATGTCTTCAAGAGGTTTACCTATTCTATCTTCCAGCAGATTTAATGTTTCTGTTTTAATATTTAGATCTTTGATCCACTCAGAAATTAGTTTAATGCATGGTGAAAGGGTGAAAGATATGGATCCTAGCCAGGCGTGGTGGCTCATGCCTATAATCCCAGCACTCGAGAGGCTGAGGCAGGAGGATCATTGTGAGTTCGAGACCAGCCTAGGCTACAAAGTAAGCTCAAGGCCAGCCTGAACTGCATAGAGAGACCCTGTCTCAAAAAGCTAAAAAAAAAAAAAAAAAAAGATATGGATACTAATCTTCAGTAGGTACAGAGCCAGGTTTTCCAGCACCATTTATTAAAGAGGCTATCTTTTTTTCCAGTGAACATGTTTGGCACCTTTGTCAAACATAAAGTGGTTTAGTGTTTCTGGAGTTGTTTCTGCATCTTCTAGTCTGTTCCATTGATCTTGGGTCTGGTTTTTTTTTTTTTGCAGTACCACGCTGTCTCTATCACAGTAGCTTTATAGCATAATTTCAAATCAGAGATGTGAAACCCCATCTTGTCTTTGCTGCCCAGGATTGCCTTTACTAATTTAGGTCTCTTCTGGTCCCAGATGAATTTTAGAATTGTTTTCTCTAATTCTGAGATATGCTATTGGAATTTTGATTGGGATTGCACTGAATGCTGTATATAACAGTTTTGGGAATATGGCCATTTTCACTATATTGGTTTTTGTACCCATGAGCACAGGATATCTCTCCATTTTCTAATATCCTCTTCAATCTCCTTTTGCGATGTAGAGGTCTTTTACAATCTTTGTTAGATTGATTTCTCTCTCTCCACCCCCCCCCCCTTTCTCTCTGTAAAGGAATTGAATCTTGTGCTTGCAAGGCAGGTGCTTATGCCACTGACTATGTCCTTGACTACTGGACATGGTTTTATTTATTTATGGTTTCGGGGATAGAATTCATGGCTTCATGCTTGCCAGGCAGGCACTTATGCTGCTGAGCTAAATCCCTGGCCCTGGACACTGTCTTAAAGAGAATCAATTTTGGCTTTCATGAAGCTGCTTTTTACAGAAATATGGTACCTCCAATCACTTCTTTTAGGGTCTATTTATTTATGATTTTTTTGAGACAAGAGTCTCACTATGCAGTATGCCTCAAACTCACAGTGACCCTCCTATCTCAGCCTCCCAAGCGCTGAGATCGTCATGCTTACTTGTTAGTATACCTGGGCCCTTTTATAACCAATGCCCATTTTATAGGACTTTCATAAGGGAGGCTGCATAATGTGGTGGAGTGAGCACTGGATCATGAGTTGCCAGGCCTGTTCAAAACAGAGGCTCTGACACATGGTGACAGGGACCCACGGCAGCCACTGCCTCTCCTCCTCTGTGATGTGTGGAGCAGGGCTGGGGGATGTCCAGCCTGGCAGCTTGCACTGGAAACAGAAATCTGACAATATTGAGCAATGATAAAGTTACAGGCATTCAACTTTTGAGTCTAATTATGCTTTTGGTCACTTCTCTGATGTATTTCTGACCATGTTTTTAGGAACACAGTCCTCAATTATAAAACTGTTTCTAAAACACCTCGGTAGGCTGAGGCAGGAGGATTGTTGCGAGTTTGAGACCAGCCTAAGCTGCAAAGTGAGCTCAAGGCCAGCCTGAACTGCACAGCGAAACCCTATCTCAAAAAAAGACAAAAAAAAAAAAAAAAAAAAAAAAAAAACCTGTTTCTAGTGGAAACTGGTTTGCTTCACAGTTGTTCTGTAGGTGGCTCCCAGGAAAAGCTGCATTCCCCATATGTATCACCCATGTCTCCAGAATTCAGAGAGTTGTGGAGGACCACCTGGACCACTTTCCTTGAACAAAAGCCATTATCCCCACTTTGGCTAAACCTGGCCCTGTCTCCATGTACTGGTGTATACAGAGCTAGCTAAGTTATTTCGTTTTCCTTTCAACTGTCTCTAAGCAATGTAATAGGGCTAGCTGGAGTACTGATGCATAATCTTTGAAGCTAGGTGATAGTCCCAGTTTCCTGCCTACTCCATGACTCCCAAAACACGGTTGAACCAGGCAGCATGTAGAGGCATGGCTCCAGGGTGGTCAACTGGGTTTGAGCCTCAAGATAGGAAGCTATGACTTCCCAGAGCAGAAAAGTGCACATCAGAGCTGAAGCACCACCCCCTAAACATTAAATGCTCAGTTGTGTTATGTAGATTGGTCTTTCAGCATATCCTTCTCTCTGCATATTGCAGAGGGGCTTTCAGGCCTCCTACATAGCCCAGCTCACATTACTTACATAATTCTTGTCATTCTCAGAGTCAGTCATTCTTAAGTCACTTCCTTTTTCACAAATTAATAAAATTCAAGCTGGGCCCCAAATCAAGGCCTTTGTTCTGATGAATCTTCATCCTGGCTGGACTTAGGACCAACTACATATTTATAGTCATAGTGTCTTTATTCTTTATGGGTTGCACCAGAGGTGGTAGATTGGAATTAGCTTGCTAAAATTTCAATAATATTTACATGGGATTACAAATATAAATTCCTGGACCATGATGATTATGTAGTGAGTGATCTTCATAGAGCTGCTAAGATGGTCACTTGATTTGTTTGTTCACTTATTTGCCATACTGGGGATTGAACCCAGAGCCTCATGCGTGCCAGGCAAGAACTCTGTTGCTAAGCTACATGCCCACTTCTTTTCAAAATGTTCTTTTGAATCAGAGTCTCAGGAAATTGCACAGGCTGAGCTTAACTTTCCATTCTCCTGTCTCAGCCTCCTGAGTAGCTGGGGTAACAGGCGTGCACCACTTCACTGGGCTCGGTCTTCTTGATCCGTTCCCTGTACAGAATTCCCAGCATGCCTAGATTTCTGAGTGTCCCTTCCCCTGCAATTACAAGGGAAAACTAAAAGTGATGTATGTGAACTGGGGGCAGCAACTACAAATGACAGCAAGAGTAACATCAAGGACAACACTGCACAACTTTGGACACTAAGACACTAAACTGAGCAGATCGCACTGCCCCCCAGCTCAGCAATGGACGCCCGAGTGAGAATCCTGAGTCACCGACAAGTGGGTAAAAACGTCCGGTATCGCTGGCTTCAGAACTTGCAGCAGGGAGCGAGGCCTTTCCGAGAGACTCCTGTCAAAGTACTTTGAAAAATGCTCGCTCTTGTTGCACACGGAAGTCACTGTGTGGGCTCCCTCCGTGCCTAGGGAGGACATCAGCTGAACAAAGTGTCATGGTGCAAGTCCTGGGACCTGAGTGTCTGCAGGAGAAGGCAGGCAGCAGCCCTAGGACAGCGGTCCACAGTGTGCAGTTTTAGGGATGAGGCAGCTTCAGTAAGAATCTGGGTAAAATTCAAATTCAGCTTGAGTTATATTAAATTAGCTGGCATTCAAAATACATTTTTATTAAGTGTTTAACATAAGCCAGTCACTTAGGGGCTACGTATGAAGTTTCAGAGAAGATGCACTCACTATTCAGGGGGCGTCAGCAGAAGTGACAGATGTGCTACTTTGTGGCTTTGCATTTCAAAGCTGGCCCTTGGAGAGTCCTACGGACTCTTCCTACCCGAGCCCCGCTGGGCAGGAGCTGTGCCTCTGCCATCAGTCCGGGCGCCCCCGCGGCCAGGGCTGGTCTCTGCAGTGACCGCGGTCCCTAGGAAGACGGGCACCTGGCTCTCCTGAGGCTGGACAGAGGTCAAGAAAGTCATTTTTCCTAGAGAGCAGAGTCCTGGGTCCCGAGCAGAGCACGCTTTTCCCGTGAGCCAGCAGGAACAGGGCAGAGGGGCGTCTCCCCCGGCCTCAGGTGTAGGCACAGGAAGGACTGGCAGCAGGAACGCGAGCGTCCCACGCAGGGCCGGCAGCCCTGCCCCCTAGAGCGCTCCCGTGCCGGCTCGCAGCGGCGGTGCCCGCAGCTGGGCGTCAGAGCCCGCGGAGCAGCCCGCCGCCGAGTGGGTGGTGCAGGCAGGGGTGGTATATCCTGTCTGCCGAGGGCGGGCCCGCCAGTGCCTGCAGAGGGAAGAGCCGGGGCGGAGGCGCCGGAGCAGCTGCAGGAGCCCTCGGCCGGTCGCACACTCTATGGCCACAGGCGGCCGCTGAGCGCGAGGAGACCACGCCGCTGCCCGCCGCCGCCCCGCACCGCCCGCGCCTCTCCGCCGCCGCCGGCCGCGCCTCCGCCACCATGAACCACTCGCCGCTCAAGACCGCGCTGGCTTACGAATGCTTCCAGGACCAGGACAACTCCACGCTGGCCTTGCCGTCCGACCAAAAGATGAAGACAGGCACGTCGGGCAGGCAGCGCGTGCAGGAGCAGGTGATGATGACCGTCAAGCGGCAGAAGTCCAAGTCCTCGCAGTCGTCCACACTGAGCCACTCCAACCGAGGTAAGGCTCGGCCGCGGTCCGTGCGCCCCGCTTGACGCACTCCTGTCGCGCGGCGGGCGGCAGGGATGGGGCGGCCGGCCAAGCAAGGCCCGGGCAGGTGGAAGCTGCTCTGTCGGGGTGGGTGCAGCAGATCGGAGTCGTGGTCCGCGACAGTGTAGCCGGCTCCACGAACTCAAAGGCGCGCCAGTGGGCAAAGCTGGGTAAATCCGGGGGACCCCGCCGGAGCCTCTCTCTAGCACCGACTGGAGGCGGAGGGTGTCCCTGGGAGGGAGCTGTCGGTGCCCATGGCCCTGGGTGGGAAAACTTTCTCTCCCTGACCCTGCTCCGGGGACCATCCAAACTCCATCTGGCCCTGTCATGCAGCAGAGGCCCCAGAGCTCAGCAAGGCTTATGTACCACCTCTCCTGTCTGTCCCTCCAGGGCTTTGCAGTCCACCATGCGTTCCGTGGGCAGCTGGAGCCCAGTACTCAGGCTGAGCGAGACCCCAGTCCTGGTGATCTTGGTGTGTGGGGCCAGGCCAGGCTGGATGAGCAACCTGCTGAGACCTCAGTTCCAGGACTTAGTGCTCAGGGAGTCAGATCAAGTCCCTGGAACACCACAGCACTTTAGCAGGAACTTCACACTCAGGAGAGGCATATTTGTTTGAAGTCCATTTCTAGGGCCAGTGGACCTTTGATTGCAGGGAAGGCTGTCTGGATGCCCCATGTTCCCAACAGCTAAGAACTCTGTTCCAGGTTCCCACAAGTGTCACATGGGAAGAGTAGGGACTGAAAGTGGCAAAGTTGGGAATTCCCCGCCTCCAGGGAAGACCCCAGCTGAAAACAGAGGAAAGAATGGAATGGCTTGTGGGCAGAGTTTGGAAAGGTTCAGACATGTCACCTGGATACATAGAGCTGGAGCAGCTTAGGACGCTCTGTAGAGGAGATTCTGCTCAGAGCTCAGGAGACCAAAAGGCTGATTAAAAGCCTCATTATAAAGACCAGGCTTGGGACGTTTCTGCTGGGAAGAAGGACTACATTGGTTGTTGGATTCCCCATGATGTGTTATGGCTTGGCAGAAAGTTTGTCTGCATTTCGCTCATGCCCAGAGACTTTGCTTGAGACTGAGACAAAGGGCAGTGGACTGATTAATCTGGAAAAGAAAATTTCAAGGCAGTCAAATATTGAGGATGTGACATGGCTATTGTTGGGGGCTTTTAGCCAGCTTTATGTTGCAAATCAAGAGCAAAGAGCCCAGCAGGATAACTTACAATACTGTGAGTTTGGCTGGAAGGAAAGCTCCAATAAAGCTGTGTATTGTAAAATTCAAACTGAGACTTTAGTTGCTGAGAAGAAACAGAGAGATAAAAAAGATGGCCCCGGGTCATCCCAGGAGGGAACGGGTCTCTACCCTTTGTAGGGTCAAAATTGCAAAGATGAAAGAATTTGCTCAGAGGAGAAAGCTGCAGAGCACCATGCTCCAAAATGGCGACGGAGGCCACATGAGGTTCCAGAATGGCAGCAACATAGAGAAGCTTTTCTTCACAATCAGGTTCACAGAACACAACGATCCAGGCAATGGACCCCTACAGCCAAGAGAGAAAAAAGCCTGATTACTGCTCCAGCTGGCAGCAAACCTTGGCGGCACCCACATGGTGCTGATTTTAGGTGCAAGAAAAATGCACAAATTCTGAGGGTAAGACGGCTTCCACCTCGCTTACAAAGGGCCTGAGAGGCCAAGCAGTGTGCCCCTGTGGGGGCACTTTGTAAAGATGTAATGGTGAAGCCAAAGGTTCAGTGGAGACCCCAAAAGTTTAAAAAAGTCAGAAACATGGGTGATCCAAGAAAAGCTACCAACAGTAAGCAGAGAGAGTTTAAGAAAAAAGTTGTGGGAGCTGATATCCCCGGAAGTGCTGTTTTTGGAGCTTACAACCAGATTGCTTCAAATGCCGAACATAAAACTCTAGGATTAATGTTTGCCCTGCTGGATGTTGGACTTGTTTTGATTCTAGTGTTTTATATTCCCCTGTTTGTAACTTTTGGAATGGTAGTGTTTATCTTGTGTCTTTACATTTCAGAAATGTTTAACCTTTTTCATTTGTACAGGGGGTTACAATTAAAGAATTTGCCATAGATATCAGAGACTTGAAACTTGGACTTTTCAGCAATGCTGAAACTGTTAGAATTCTGGCAACTCTTGGAGATGGACTAAATGTCTTTTGGGGGCTAAGGGTGGAATGTTATGCTTTATGTCGGTGGTCCCCAGGCCTCATGCATTTGTGTTGTACATTTGTGATTGGTTGTCTAGCGCTTGGATTGTGGGTGTAAGTGCTACACTGGCGTACGGGTGGAGCCAGGATGTGATATAATGGCAGGAAGAAGGCGTGTCTTGCTCTCTTGCTGGTTTCTGCCTTGCTGTTTGCAGCTGCCATGAACTTCGGCCTGCCATGCCACCCAGGGTGCTGCCTTGGAGCCAACTAAATATAAACTGAAACCTCCAAAAACTGTAAGAAATAAACCTTTCCTTTCCCAACTTGGTACATCAGGTATTTTGTCTCAGCAAGGAGTAAAAAGTAACTAAGACACCTGGCGAAAGTGTTTTCCCATCTCCGGGCTTTCCCTTCACTCTGCCGGTTGTGTCCTTCACTGGGCAGAAGCTTCTTCGTTTGATAGCATCCCATTTGTTGATGCTTGTGGATATATCTTGTGCAACTGGGGCTCTGTTTAGAAACTCTTTGCCTACACCCCTGATTTCAAATGTTTTACCTATTTTATCTGCTAGTATGTCCACTGTTTCTGTTTTAAAGATTAGATCTTTGATCCATTTTTGTTTTAGTTTAATACATGGTGAGAGCTATGGGTCCAGCTTTCTGCATAGAGACAGTCCATTTCCCCAGCACCATTTGTTTCTGTTTTTTGTTTGTTTGTTTTTTTGTCGTTTTCCTTTTTATCAGTACCGGGGATCAAACTCACGATTGCCTGCTTGCCATGCAGGCGCTTATGCCGCTGAGCTAAATCCGTAGCCCCCCCCCCCCCAGCACCATTTGTTGACAGGCTGTCTTTCCTCCAGCACATGCTTTTTGCCCCTTTGTTGAAGATCAAAAGCTCAATGTGTCTGGGGAGGTTTCCATACCTTCTATTTTGTTCCACTGATCCACTTGTCTGTCTGTGTGCCAACACACTATACCACTTTCATCACTGTTTCTTTGTAGTATAGCTTGAAATCAGATATTGTGATGCCACCTGTTAAACTCTCCTTGCTCAGGATTGCTTTTGCTATTCCAGGTCTCTGGGTTCCATATGAATTTTACGATTGTTTATCTAGTGCTGTGAGGAATGCTGTTGGGCTTTGACTGGGATTGTATTAAATCTGTATGTAAGTTTTGAGAGTGTGGTCATTTTGACAATATTGGCTCTACCTATCCGGGAACAGGAGACACTTATCCTTTTTCTAATGTCCTCTTCAATCCAGTTATATTTATATATCATTTTAAAGAGAAAATAAAGTTATCCTTACATGTACAATACAGAATGAAAGCCAGCTGCACTGCGAATTCTGCTTCCCTCTGTATCCACCTCCCTTAAAAAATACTTTCCTCTGCTATTTTCTAGGTCAAAATGAGAACAGAACCATTGTCTTTTATACAGGGATTCAGTGAGAGGGGATTCTTACATCGAAGAAACTCTAGCCTGAGCCCAGGGATCAACAGTTACTTCCTCCCTCCCAAGACAAAAACCTCTACTAGGACTCAAGTGGGCATTGATGGGGACCAAACTCGTTAGGACACCCACAGACCTGGGGCTCCCAACCAGGCAGCAGTGCCCTCTAGGGGGCACTGTGGGACGGTGTGGAGCTCTGAGTCTTCAGCAGTGATGTAGGGCAGGTGGCCAGAGGTGCTGGGCATCAGGAAAGCCCAGAACACTCTGTGCAGCAAAGAAGTGAGCACTTATGGCAGAGCTCTTGAATACCTGCCGTGTGACAGATCTGTGAAAGAGGAAAACACTTGTATTTAATTATCCCTAAAACCCATTTTATGTATGAATTATTGTTATACATTTTAATAAACAATAAATTTTCTTTAAATTGAAGATGAAGTCCTATGATAATAAACAATTCAAAAAGTCCTTGAGTTTTGTCCAGCTTTGTGTAGTATATGTACCTTAATGGTTACATATTTCTGGTGTTTATTACTAATGACTTCCTATTTAAAAGAAATCCTGGCAGCTAGTCTAGGAGCTGTGCCAGGCCAGGTGCCATTAGTGGGGCCTGCTCAGGGCTTTTAGGAGGTCCTGGGTGTCCTGAAACCCCAGGAACCTGAGCTGTGATTCACCCCATCTGCAGTCTCCTCCACCCCCCAGAAGGAAGGACTGCATCTCCATCTCCAAGATCATCACCAGGACCACAAGGCCTATAACTCACCCACCACATCCAGCTTTGCCTCACAGCTGCAAAGCTGCAAAAACACTGTCACACAGCTGGAAGACCCTCTGGACCAAGCTAGAACAGCTCTACAGAAAGTACAGGAATCTCCACATGCACTCTGTAATTCAGGCCAATACCACGCACAAAATGCAGAAAGTATTTGCTCAAGTTCCTGGTGAGGTTGGGAACGATGTTTTAAGTCAAGACAACTCCAATTTTGGACTGCATTTGTGGAATTTGCTGCTTTAACAAAGGAACTGTCCACACTGCTGAAAAATCTGCTTCAAGGATTGGGCCTCAATGTGACCTTCGTTTTGGAGTCCTTGTTAAAAAGAGACCTGGAGAGGGAGTCAAAGGAGATCTCAGGGAGCTGTTTGACAAAGGTTGAGACTGGTTGCACACTCCTGTAATCCCAGCACTCCAGAGGCTGAGGCAGGAGGACTGCTGTGAGTTCAAGACCAGCCTGGGCTACAAAGTAAGCTCAAGCCCAGCCTGAACTGCATAGTGAAACCCTGTCTCAAAGACACACACACACACACACACACACACACACACACACACACACACACAGTTATGAGACTAAGTTTACAAAAATTCAG